GGAGATTCATACAATGCTGTAACTAGGATGCTCAGACATTTGGATGCAATGTGCATGTCCATCCATGGAGACTTTAGGGGGAAAAATTAATTTTTAGGGACCAATCGAAGTCCTCACCCTCAAGGGACTATTGACAATTCTGAAGCTTGAGGATTTTGTAGGGACCTCATTGGTTAGAATTTGACCTATCTGGCGGTCAAGTGTCATGCTTTGGGACACTATTGTATTGACATCTAAAGAGCCTTTAGTTGGTGTCATTTTATGCTACACAAGGTTTCTTTTGACAGTCAGGGTACCTCTGTGGGCCACATCTACCGGGTCCAGGCGGGGACTTTTGGTATGTTCCGAAGGTGTCAGTTAGAGCGGATTTTGGCAAGGCAGCCTAAAGTCTCTGGTCCACCCTGACTTTGTTAGTTTCTTGCCTTCGTGGGGGTCTTTAGAATTTTTGGAGTATGTTTGTGACCTCGTGGGAATAGTGTTCTTCCTCATGAGACTTGTCTTTCTTTCTAGGCGAGTTTTCTGTTTTTCGAGTCCTTTTTGTAAATGGACTCAGGCTGTCGAAATCTTGCTTGATGTTCATATTTTTGGATCCTGGTATTGTGACACCAGGGCTTTTTCTCTTTGAATGTGGGTTGGCGTCGCCTATTGAGGCGATTATTGCACCAACCTGTTTACTGGTTCAAGCGTCCTTTGCAGATTTTCACTTAGACTTGGGAAGCGGCACCGTAGTGACGGTTTTCACCAACTTTTTATTTGGGGCTCTTTTACCCATGACCTCACAACCATGTCTACTCTTTTCATCCATTTTTTCTCACGGTGCCCTTTTGGGGTTTTCACTGTGCTCGAGTTTTATTTTCACGGAACTCTTTTACTCATGGCTTCGTGCGTCCATCATTTTTACTCATGGCTTTCCCTTATCTAGGTATACACCATGCACGTTAATTTTTATTTTTTTTCTCTCTCTTTTTTTTTTTGTGAAGGCGTGTTTAAGGTTATGCCTTCGGGATCTATGCAAAGCCTTTTAACGTCATGAGGGTAGAACATGCACTATGATTTAAGCTCATATAGCTGGACCGTGGTGGTGATGAATGGCAGTCTATGGAGGCCATGGAGTGAGTATGGTGGTGGTTTGACTCACTTTTGGGAGATTGCGTGAGGTTACTTATGAAAGATGGATGATGTATGAATGGTGGGTGGAGAGTAGTGACCCTTCAGCTAATGGTGAGATGGTTCGCCGTTTTGTGAGCATGGATGAAACTCACTGGGGAATGATGGATGATGGTAATGAATTTACTGGGCATGCAATGAAGGTGGTGCGTGCACACGAGCGGGTCGGTTTGGGAAGGCTTGCGTGAAGATGAACGTAAAGGGTGTGTGCGCGTATGCGGGAGCGTCTTTAAGCTCATGCCTCCTGGACCTGTGCAATGAAGTTTATCGTCATGTGGCCTGGACGTACACTATGATTTAATGTCATATAGGTTGGACCGAGGTTGTGCAGTTTAAAGTCATGCAACTAGAACCATGCAGTTTAGGGTCGTGCAACTAGACCTCCGCTACAGTTTAAGGTCGTATAGTTTGGACCATGCAGTTTAGAGTTGTGCACCTGGATCAAGGCTGTGCAGTTTAAGGTCATGCAGCATGGACCATGCAGTTTATGGTCGTGCAACTAGACCTCTGCTATAATTTAAGGTTATAGTTTGGACCATTGGTTGGGTCACCGTGTGGAAGAAGCTCCATGGGGGATAGGTTTATGGATAACAATCTGATTCCCTAGGGATAAAATAGTTATGGCTATACACAAGCAAAGAACTTTAGATGATGATGGGGAAAGTGGAAGAGAACTTCATTGGGGATTAGGAAGGCTTTGACTCCACGAGGATAATGAGTAATGATATGCATGTACCTCTGCTGAGAATGACAGGCCAGAGCACAGATTCAACCCCATTGGGGATTGAAAAGATAAGCTTGACCCTAACTCTTGGGGATAGTGGGTCACAATAAGATGCGACTCCTACTGGGGATGTTGGTGCGAAAGAGACCCATTAGGGATTAAAGGGGTAAGCACGACTCCATGTGAATAATGGGCTGCAATAGGGATGTGACTCCTACTGAGGATGAGGGACAGTGGCTTGTATGCAGCTCCATTAGGAGTTATAGTCAGGAGCAGAGGTGTAACCCCACTGGGGATAATGACATACAGTTCGAGTTTAAAGTCATGTGAATGGACTATGTGCGTAACAACTTTAAGGTCTTGTGACTCGGACCATGGCTATGCAGTAATAAGTCCTGTAGCTAGGACCATGCAGTTTAAGGTCATGCAAATAGACCTCCGCTACAGTTTAAGGTCATATAGTTTGGATCATGCATTTAGGGTCGTGCATCTAGATCATGGCTATGCAGTTTATGGTCATGCAACACAGACCAAGGCTGCGCAGTTTAAGGTCATGCAGCACGGACCATGGCTATGCAGTTTAAGGTCATGCAGCACGGACAATTGTGTGGTAAGGAAATGTGTCTCCCTAAGGTGAAGAGCAGTCACTAGGGACTGGGGTTCCTAAGGAGTGAGACTGTGATGTAGGGAATGAACTTCCTGAGGAGGCACTACGATAGTATTGATGGGAGTGCCATAGCATGCACACGACACTAGGTCTTGGATGGCACACGCGGCGTTAGTCCCATGATGAAGTGCACACAACGCTAGGTCCTTGGTGAGGTGCTCGACGATAGCTCCTCAATGAGGCGTGTGGCGATAGCCTCTTGGTGAAGTGCACAGCGATAAATCCTCATGAAGCACACGGCGATAAGTCCTCATGAAGCGCAAGACGATAGCCCTTTGACGAAGTGCACGACGATAACCCCTTTGACGAAGTGCTCGGTGATAACCCCTTTGACGAAGCATGCAGTGATAACTACTTCGGGCCTCAGGCTTGACCCGCCTCGGTCTGATCTTATTGCGGTCAGAAGATGAGGACCGGAGCATCATTTTGATCTTATGAGGGGCTATTTGTGGCACTGTTGAGTATGAAAGAGGAAAAAACCTCGATTTACTATTTTACTGAAGGGTAAAAACAGTAAAGGATGTTTTCAGAGAGAGAGAGAGAAAGCTGGAGCTTCTGTCAAGATTTTTGGCAAGGGTTTCTCAGCGAAAGTCATAGTGCACAGATATTTCACCGGCAATACTTCAACATCTTGAAGGTATTCGTAGAGTTCTAGCGAACATTTTCTGAAAGTGCTAGGGCTTCTGGAGGGGTTAACAGGAAGCTTTCGAGGAGAGGTAAGGAGCCTGGTGGAGTCGCAGGTTTTGCAGAAGAGCTTTAGTGAGTTGGAGGTCGTTGTGAAGGAAGAGGGAGGCTGACCAGGGGCTATTGACTAATCCCAGGAATCCTCGATAATTTTTCTGGTGGTCATATGATCGCTGATAGGTTGCAGAGGCTTTTGAGGGAGACACGGACTGCTGGCATTTAGGCAGGGCCTTTCGGTGTTCTCCTGACATCTCTATAATTATTGTGAAGGAGAAGGGAGGTTGATCAGTGGTTATGTCAGAAGCTCTACAATTTCCTGACAAGTGGAGGAATGCAAAGAAGGGAGAAGGAAGCCCATAGTGTCACAGGAGAGCTTCTACAGGGACTTTGGTAATTTCCTGATATCCTTGGCTGTCGGAAAGGGAAAAGAACAGGGTCAGGCGGGGACTTTTGGTGGTCGGGGGAGTGTTTTCGACGAAACCTGAAGGGCTGCAGGGGAGGTGAAAGGTTGTGGGAAGGTGGACCGTCAACGAGGAGCGACGGTTGGGGAGATTTAGGAGGCACAAGGGTTAATGCCCCCTGGGAACTGGCGACGGTGGGAACCGGGACAAGGGCATGCACAACATTAAGTCGCATGCAGTGCTGCCTTCGCGCAACGTTAAGCATCTCACAGTGACAGCCATGCTTAGTAGCATATCGTTCGCGATAATGGTCGTGCATGGTGTTAGCCTGCCCACAATGATGGTAGAACGTGGCATTGAGTTGCGCACGACGATGGTTGCGCATGGTGTTGGGTTGCGCACGATGATAACCATGGCCGACGATGTCTCGTGGGGGGCCAAGAGTGGTGGCAAAGAGAAAGCCTGCCGCATGTTGTTTGTGGGGAGCCAAGTCCTCCAGTACAACATTGAAGTTCATGTTGTTTTTGAAGGGAATCCATAATGGGTCGGCTCCTTGCCAAGGAAGTGGGCTCCAACCATACCTTGTCAGATGAATTGAAGCTGACTCGGAGATGGTTAAATTCTCCTAGTGGTTTTGCTTCTTCTTCATGATGATAATGTTTCTTTTTGGCCTGTAACCGTCCTCTTATCTTCAGATGCTAGAGCTTTGTAACTTCCCTAATAATGAGCTTTTGATTAAGTTGTAACTTTTTCTAATGTAATAAAAGAAATGAACTTCCTTTGAGATGGATTAATGTTCCTCATCTCCATTTATTTCTTTTTACTACACGCACCGCATTTTAGGGATATTTTCAGGGATAGTACTTCTGTAAATACCGCCCATTGATAGGGGGCATCGCCTCTTCTCCATCAGAGATTGGTGTGACCTTCTTGACTATGAATGGACCGTCCCACTTAGGTTCAAACTTTCCTTTGTGGTTCCTATGCATGAAAATCGATCTCTTGATTGCTAAGACTAGATCCTCACAAGCGAATGAGTGAACCTTAACAGACTTGTCAAAGGATCTCTTCATTCTTCCTTGATTGAGCTCGAGGTTCTGCTAGGCCGCTAGTATTTTTTCGTCAAGGGCATCCAACTCCTAGTAACAAAGCTTGATCCTCTCATCTTTAGTCAGTCCCAGATGTATAGAGACACGAAGTGAGGGTATTTGAACCTCAAGGCGTAGAACCACCTCACCTCCATAGACCAGAGAATAAAGAGTAGAGTTTGTAGCATTCCGAGTGGTGGTGTCTGCCACCATTGAAGGCCAAGAAACATCAGGGACTGACTAAAGATGAGAGGATCAAGCTTCTCATGCTAATTCTTCCTTGACTTCGAAACTGATTTCTGGAGCACTCCGCACAGGGTTTTGTTGAATGCCTCAGCTAAACCGTTGGCTCGAGGGTAGTAAATGGTCAAGTATTTCCACTCGAAACCGAACTGATTGACTAGGTGATCAATGTGATGGCTTCTGAACCGAGGGCCCTTATCAGAGATTATTCGGTCTGAAACCCCGAACCGGTATATGATGTGGTGATGCACGAAGTTGGCCACAGTGGTCCCTGAAACCAGCTTTAGAGGGACCTCTGCAGCCAATTTGGAAAAATAACCTGTCGTTGCTAGAATAATGGCATGACCGAAGGCGGAAGGAGGGTCAATGGGTCCTACAATATCCATATCCCACTGGGAAAAGAGCCATGATGTCACTGTAGGATGGAGAAGCTCCAGAGCTTGATGAATGAGGCTTGAGTGCATTTAGCATACCTGGCATCTTTTAGCATAGTTTTGGGTGTCTTCCACCATTGAAGGCCAATAATAGCCAAGTTTGCGAATGCACTCATAGAGCTTAGGGCCGGACTGATGCTGCCTGCAGATACCTAAATGTACTTCTTCGAGTTCTTTGCTTGCTTCTTGTTTATCGATGCATCAGAGGAGAATTTAGTCAAACGATCGATGAAAGAGAACATCCCCATCGAGAAGGATGTAGTTGGTAGACATTTGTAGTATGTCATTGCGTTCGGACAGATCCTCAGGCAGCCTTCCACGCTTTATGAAGTTCATGATAGGATCCCTCCAGTCTTCCACTTGTTCAACCTCTGCACACATTGGCTCGAAGAATTCATGCTCCTTCTTCTCGACCTTGAATTCTTGACCTCGGGCCATTTCCTGCTCTACCTTAATGACACCCTTAGCTGTAAGGAGTGCTCTAAATGGATAAGGCAGTCAGGGAAGACATCTCTCTCATCATATGCATCCACTTTGGTTCTCAAATCAACATGCCTCATTCTATTACCTAGACAGGTGCAGGCCTCGATGAAGATAGTTGAATGGGGGCCCTGAGATTTGCGACCGCATCAGCCTGCGAGTTTAGCCTTCTAGGGATATGACTTAGGGATAAATCGTCAAACTAGGCCATATAAGTTTGGCCGTGTCATGATAAGGCTTGAGAGTATCCTTTCTTATGTCATAAATCCCGTCAAGCTGCTGAATGACCATCTCAGAATCGTCGAAGATGTCCAGCTTCTCCAGGTCTAGCTCTTGGGCGATCTCCAATCCAATTATGACAGTTTGATATTTAGCCTCGTTATGAGAAAATGCTTCTGCGAGTGAGAAGGATAGAGGGATCATTCCACCATTGGGAGTCAGGAACGTGACTCCGACACCTTCTCTATCAGACTAGAATGCTCCACCGAAGTACATTTCCCACAGCCGAGTTAGTACTATACAAAAAACTTCTTCATCTAGAAGATCACTTGATAGGGGAGATTTTGAAGGGACTGAGTGATACTTCCAAGATCTTCACCAAATGGGAGGCCTCTTGAGAACAAGAGCTTGAAGATGGCTCGGACTTGGCTTGGGCTGCCAGGGCATCGATGACAGTTAAGAATCCAGTCGCCTTGGCCAGCATCTTTTTTAGGTGTTTTTGATGTGACCAGGTGATGTTGGTGCCTTCGAGCTCCCTGTTGAGAGGGTCGAAGTCTAGTCACTGTCGAGTTGCACCTATAAAAGAAATAACAGAGGAGGGAGGAGAACAAGAAGAAGCAGAGTAAGGTTTTGGGCAACTTTTTACGTTATTGCCAGAATTGGACGTGTGCAGGGGGTATTTTAAGCCGTGCCCTGGGTTTGACTGTTGTAGTGTGCGTTAAGTGTCATCACCCATATTGGATTACTCCCGAGCTATTGGTGACTCAGGGACATTCGCCTGTTTGAATGAAGGGATGAGGCGAGCTGCGCTTGGGACGAAGTCCTGTAAGGTTGACAGTGGAGGAAGGGGCCTGAGAAATTCTTCCTCGACGGGTGGCTGAGGAACACGATTCCTTCGGCTAGCTGAACTGGGCACTCGTCTCCTTTTGGATCTCCCGGGGGGTGTTTGAACTGTCCTATCGGGCTGATGAGCAGCCTTAGCTTGATGGACTGCCTCGCACTTCAGGGACTTGAGCTTACTTCATACATGGTAGACTTCCCAGGGCTGAGAAGTCCAGGGTTCTGAAGGTTCGAGGTATCCTTGTTAGGGACCTGCAGTGGGACTTCCTCTTGTATGGGAGAACTGGATTGGAAGTGTTCTGAGAGAAAGACACAAATAATGTGGCCCTTCATGTCACGACCTCACCCCCCTGGCCCCACTGTACACCATTAGAGGGCGACAGAGTGCGGGATCATGATCACAGAGGTCGCGATGTCACTCAGGTGGGAGTCGCTCAACACATAAAAACAAGGAATCAAGAGAAAACCACGAAAGAAAATTAGGATACAAATCACTCCAATAGGCGAAAAATATCAAATGTCCAGTCAATCTTCTTAAGGCACTACTAGCCCAAAATACACAAAATGAAATGTTCATCATGGATTTGAGACCACCAAAACATATTACGAAAGTCTTCACAGGACCGCTTTCGAACGTTTGAACTTCGAGCTTCAAGTCCCCAAGATGCTTGCCGACCTTTATTATTGATGCCACACTCCTCACACTACAGTTATGAAGATAGGATGGAATGAGCTAAATAGCCCAGTAACCAGATTTACACCATTGCATTCCAACTAGCATAACGGTGACAATAATATGCCATGTACATATATATGTATATACACAAGGTATCAAATGAAGTCCCTCAACATGCTTCTCAACACTCTAACAGTAATGTGATAAAGGCAGTTCAATATACAATGCATAAGTCACAATCACCTTACTTAAAGCGGAGTAGTAAGGACAACAAATCACAGGTAGAGTATAAAGTTCATGCAGAAAGCTTAAATAGGACAGGAAAACAGATCTATCTACTCCTGCAGTAGAAGCCATATTGATCAGGCTAAGCCAATCCTAAACTCGGGACTTCTACCCTCACTTAGGAGGCTGGACAATGACAAGTGGATGACCCACTTCGTAATGCCCTCACACACGCACGCATCCTCAGCGCGCTTTGGGGTTTTCGATAGGCAACGGCCTTGCAAGACATGACTCTCCCCTTGCTCCCTTTTGGCGAGAGGGCTTTAAATTATCATTGGGTGGTCTCATGCATAGTGCCCATATAGATCTGGGGGGCCCTCCCAGATATTCACATTCACATCTTGATTCCCATCCTATCATGGGGAGCAGAGGAATATCACAGCTGCTGACACTATCATTCACACAGTAGGTACCCTTTCCAACAGGCAGCCGCCAGCACCATCAGTCACATAGTAGGTGCCCATTCATATATCACATGAACAGTGTTGTAAGCGAAGCTCAATAAGATTGAGTTTTGGCTCCCAAGGGTGGCATTCCTCGGGCATATTATTTCCAAAGAGGGGATTTCTATTGATCCTTATAAGATTGAGGTTGTACTCAAGTGGGAAAGACCAACGAATGTATTTGAAATTTGCAGTTTCTTGGGACTAGCGGGGTACTACAGGCATTTTGTAGAGGGGTTCTCCAAGAGAACACTTACCCTAACTAACCTAACCCAAAAGGAAGTTAAATTTTTATAGTCCGATAACTGTGAGAGAAGCTTTTAGAAATTGAAGAAGAGACTGACTATAGCCCTGATACTGACCTTGCCTAAGGGGAACAAAGATTTCATAGATTACACGGATGCCTCGCACAAAGGGCTTGGGTGTGTACTAATGTAACGAAGAAACGTTATAGTCCTATGCCTCCAGGCAATTAAAGCCGTATGAACAAAACTATCCCACTCATGATCTAGAGTTGGCAGCTGTGGTTTTCGCCTTAAAAATTTGGAGGCATTATCTATATGGAGCCCAAATTAAGGTTTTCACTGACCATAAGAGTCTTAAGTACTTATTTTCTCAAAGGGAATTAAACATGAGACAAAGAAGGTGGATGGACTTTCTCACTGATTATGATTGTACCATCAACTACCACCCGGGCAAGACAAATGTCGTGGAAGATGCCTTGAGTAGGAAGCTTGTGGTATCGGTGGCTCACATGATGGTTCGAGAGAAGAAACTATTAGAAGATGTAGGGGAATGACACCCAGCTTTGCCCCTTGAAGAAGGGAAAGGAATAATTTCGTGTATAAGGATAGAGCCCCATCTCTTCCAGCAAATCTGAGTAGCACAAAAGGAAGATCCTTAGCTCATTAAAATCTTCGAGGAAATAAAGTCAAAAGGAAAAAGGATTTTGTGTCGAGCGATGATGGAATGCTAAGGTTTAAAGGTCGAGTTTGTGTCCCCAACAATGAAAAGGTAAAGAAAGCTATTTTGGAAGAGGCGGGTTACTCCCATTATACAGTACATCCAGGGAGCATGAAAATGTATCAGGATTTAAAAAAAGTGTTCTAGTGGAATAATATGAAGAGAGATGTAGCGTTGTTTGCTTCAAAGTGCTTGACGTGTCAACAAGTAAAGGTTGAACACTAGAAGGCTACTGGACACTTACAACCCTTACCTATGCCGGAGTTGAAATGGGAGCACATAGCCATGGATTTCGTGTCGGGCTTGCCTAGATCAAGCATAAGACATGATATATTTGTGTTATTGTGGACCGACTCACTAAAGCTGCTCATTTCTTATCGGTTCGCACTACCTATACCTTGGATAAGTTAGCCCAATTATACATCAAGGAAATAGTAAGATTGCATTGAGTTCCTATCAGTATCGTGTCCAACAGAGACTATAAGTTACTTCAAGGTTTTGGATCAACCTACAATTAGCCATGGGGATCAAACTTACTTTTAGTACTGCTTTCCACCCCCAAGCTGATGATCAGTAAAAAAGGACCGTTCAGACCCTGAAAGACATGCTAAGGGCCTGTGTTATAGATTTTTCAGGGAAACTGGGATGATCACCTGCCTTTGATAGAGTTTGCATGTAACAACAGTTTCCAGGCTAGTATGTGGATGACGCCTTTTGAGGCATTGTATGAGAGGAAGTACAGATCACCTGTATGTTGGGACGAGGTCGCTGAAAGGAGACTGTTAGGGCAAAAAATTGTTCAAAAGACCTCAGAGAAGATCGCTCTAGTTCGAAGAAAGACTTAAAACGGCTTAGAGTCGACAGAAGAGTTGTGCCGACAATCGAAGAAGGGACCCTGAATTCGAAGTGGGTGATCGAGTCTTTCTGAGGGTGTTGCCAGTTAAGGGAATAATGATATTTGGTAAAAAGGGGAAATTGTCTCCATGATTTATTGGACCCTTTGAGATTCTAGAGAAAGTTGGAGTCGTGGCATATTGATTGGCCCTAGTGCCTGATCTAGCCAACATTCATGATGTTTTCCACGTGTTGTTGTTAAGGAAATACGTCCCACATTCTAAAGTATG